GGATATATATAGAGAGAGAGATAAATAGCATGTTACTTAGACACAGAAGCAGCTCTCAAACTAAACATCTGTAAGTTCCCTCTCGCAGTGAGTAGAGTTAGCAGAGGTACAGAGGCTGGTGCTTTTCACTATTAGCCTGTCTGTGTTATTTGATTTTGTTTTTAATCCCATAAAGACATTACTTTTTGCTAAAGAGAGAACTACAGTAAAGGAGCCAGACCAACCTACTTTAGTCCTCCCACTTGGAACAAGCCTTTTTCTGGACTCCATATCGCCACCCAGCGGAAACAGAAGAGCAGCAGCCAGACTTCTCGAAAGAAAGTCTTGTCCACATCTCAGCCTCTCTAGAGCATGATACCACTGACCACTTCCTTTTATTATTATTTATTTATTTATTTAATTTTCTGAGACGGAGTTTCACTCTTATTTCCCAGGCTGGAATGTAATGGCGCAATCTCGGCTCACTGCAACCTCCACTCTTGGGTTCAAGCGATTCTCCTGCCTCAGCCTCCCAAGTAGCTGGAATTACAGGCACCCGCCACCATGCCCAGCTAATTTTTTCAGTTTTCAGTAGAGACGGGATTTCATCATGTTGACCAGGCTGGCCTCAAACTCCTGACTCAAGTGATCTACCCGCTTCAGCCTCCCAAAATGCTTACAGGCGTGAGCACCACGCCTAGCCTTACTTTTTTTTTTTTTTTGAGAGGGAGTTTCACTCTTGTTGCCCCAGCTGGAGTGCAATTGCACGATCTCGGCTCACCGTAACCTCCGCCTCCTGGGTTCAAGCAGTTCTCCTGCCTCAGCCTCCCCAGTAGTTGGGATTACAGGCACGTACCACCACGCCTGGCTAACTTTGTATTTTTAGCAAAGACGGGGTTTCTCCATGTTGGTCAGGCTGGTCTTGAACTCCTGACCTCAGGTGATCCACCCACCTTGGTCCCCCACAGTGCTGGGATTACAGGCATGAGCCACCACGCCCAGCTATACTTCTTTTGAAGAACACATTCAGGCAGGCACAGTGGTTCACGCCTGTAAACTCAACACTTTGGGAGGCTGAGGCAGGAGGATTGTTTGAGCCCAGGAGTTCAAGACCAGCCTGAGCAACAAAGACCCCTCCATCTAAAACAAACAAAAAGATAAAATTTAAAAACCTCTCTTCTCATGGTTTCTCCCACCTCGGTTTCTGCCTACATTTCAGGCCATTCTCTGCTGTCCTCCTGACTTTTAAGTGTTAGAGAGGTTTGGGGACCAGTCCTAGGCCCTCTTAATATTCGCTTGCCCCTGACATTCTTATCCACTCCTGTGGTTTTATTGACCACCTATGCCCCAATACTCAAACATGCCTGCAGACCAGGTTGCTCTTTTGAGCCCCAGACCTAGATCGATAGTTTCTCCCCATGGATTCTGCATAGGCTCCTCAAATTCAAAATATCCAGTATCGGTCAGGCAAGGTGGCTCACGCCTGTAATCCCAGCACTTTGGGAGGCTGAGGTGGGTGGATCACTTGAGGTCAGGAGTTCGAGACCAGCCTGGCCATCATGGTGAAACCCCGTCTCTACGAAAAATGCAAAAATTTGGCAGGCGTGGAGGTGCGCGTCTGTAGTCCCAGCTACTCAGGAGGCTGAGGCAGGAGAATCACTTGAACTCGGGAGGCAGAGGTTGCAATGAGCTGAGCTTGCGCCACTGCACTTGAGTCTGGGCAACAGAGGGAAGACTCTGCCTCTGAAAACAGACAAAATATCCAGTATCTCTCCTTCAGTGTAGACCATCTTAAAAATGGCACCAAAGCACCTCAATACTGTCTTCTCCTGCATCTCTCAATCCCCATATATAGCCAAGCACCAAGGCTTGTCCAGACATTTTCCACATCTGCCCACCCATCTTCTATGCCTTGGCCCTGGTGCCAGCTGCCACTGGGATGGCTGTGGTACCCTCCTAAGCTGCCCCGCTGCTTCTCGTCTTGTTCTTGTCCAAACCAGTCTCCATAGTGGCTACAGTGATTTTTTTTTTTTTTCCAGTAGATATGCAGTCTCACTATATTGCCCATGCTGGTCTTGAATTCCTGGGCTCAAACAGTCCTCTCGCTGCATGCAGCCTCCCAAAGTGCTAGGATTACAGGTGTGAGCCATTGCGCTCAGCCCAGTGATTTTTTTTTTTTTTTTTTTTTGAGACAGGGACTCACTCTTTCACCCAGGTATAGTGCAGTGGTGTGATCATAGCTCACTCCTGCCTCGACCTCCTGGGCCCAAGTGATCCTCTCACCTCAGTCTCCAGAGCAGCTAGGACTACAGGCACACGCCTCCAGGCCCAGCTAATTTTTGAATTTTTTTGTAGAGATGGGGTTTCACCATGTTGTCCACGCTGGTCTTAAACTCCTGGGCTCAAGTGATCCTCCCACCTCAACCTCCCAAAGTGTTGGGATTATGTGCTGGGATTACAGGCCTGAGACACAGCGCCCGCTCTGCCCAGAGCTTTTTTTATTTTTTTTATTTTTTAAGCGATGGAGTCTCGTTCTGTCAGGCTGGAGTGCAGTTGCCATCTGGGCTCACTGCAACCCCCGCCTCCTGGGCTCAAGCAATTTTCCTGCCTCAGACTCTCGTGTGGCTGGGAGTACCGGCGCACACCACCATGCCGGCTATTTTTTTTGTATTTTCGTAGAGACGGGGTTTCACCATGTTGCCCAAGCTGGTCTCGAACTTCTGAGCTCAGGCTATCCGCCCCCCTCAGCCTCCCAAAGTGCTAGGATTAGAGGCGTGAGCCACCGCGCCGGGCCCCAGTGATCTTAAAATACAAATCTGAGACCCAACCTAGGCGACAGAGCGAGGCTCCGTCTCAATAATAATAATAATAATAATAATA